TGCATTTTCAAAATGTATTTTGGATGATGTGCTGGGTGATAGTTTCTGCCAACAGCATGGTGATTATCAATCCTTGTTTTTAGTGTGATGGATTCTGCTCTTTGAAATACAGACCCTTTACTGTGATTGCTTTGACTGCCTCAAACCATTCTCAAAGTGTTGAATCAACTGTATGTAAGAGCAATAATGTTTCTAGCATAACTTCAAAAATCTCTTTAAGTCTGTGGGTTTTAATATTCCTTTAATACTTTTATCTTTGTGCAACTTTATTACTATTTTGAAGGGAGGAAATGCTGGGGCTATTGATGTGTTTTACTTTGCCAGAGGGTGAAGTGGAGATGAATATTCAGTTTCTTCAAGTGAAACTCACAAGTGGCCAGTAGAAAACAAAAGATGCTCATTATTCACTCAACACGCAGCCAAACTGGCACTTCTTGCTGTCATGTTCTGTGAGTGCTGGCAGTCTCTGTGTTTTAATAAAAGTAATGGGATTAGTTCACAAAAGAAAATTCCTGAATGGTTATAATCAGAGACACTGCTCTGGCTTTGACTTCCTGCTTCTTGAACCACTTCCAGTCTGAACACAAACGTGTTTCATACTTACACACCCCAGTAACAAACATGGTTGGGAGGTCCATATTCTGTAGTGATAAAGGGGTGGATGTAAAGATTTGTCATGCAAAATATTCTCTGCTTTTAACTATGTTAACATAATCTTTGCTTTGAGAATAGAGGCTCAGCTGGGAATAATTATAGCTTCAGAATCCAGAACATAGTATTTTCTTTTATTACGTAAGCAGTTGTCAGTTGATACCAAAATTGCTTAATTTATTCTGCTAGCAATGCCCTAAATGTTAAATATATCGAGTGAGCATTCTTAGAAATATTAATATTGCCATTCTTACCCAATTTTACTCTGAACTTGAAACCTACGTTTTATATACAAGTACACAAAATGCTGCAAATTTTGAAGCCTTTAATTAGTAGTTGCAAATTTGTTTGTCCCTTATCCACTTGTATTTGCATAAAGATTGAGGCCAGTTGGAATGAAAGGGATAAAACCTAGATGGAGGAAACATTAATAAATTAATAATCATGTATGAAAGATAAGTAGCCTTAGATGTCATTTCCATAAGCTTTATTAAAGTAGAAATTATTTTTTTAAGATGCAGTTAATATTTTCTCCACAGTTGATAATTTCTAAAGAGAGATCTGTCCATGAGGTGCAGTATTAGAGAAATTAATGGATCGAGGTCAGACATTAGTATGTAAATTAAGCTTTGCTGTTATTCTGGATGGCAACAGCAACATTACCTTGTGTTTGACCTTTCATTCATTTAGCCTGACTCAGCTGTGTCAGTCAAAACTATTAATCCTAAGGAGCAGAGTTAAAGTGCAGGGCTCAGCTTTCTTCTCCTCCCCTTGCCTGCTGGAAAGCCCCTGGGAGCAGAGCTCCTGGAGGGACCCTGGGCATGTTCTCTGCAGGTTTCCTGCAGCATTCTGGAGTTCCTGGTCCCTTCCCCACAGCTCTGCTGCAGCACTTATCCACGGGGATTTTGCAAGGTTTTCAGGGAGACCAGGGCCAAGTTCCAGAGCCCTGTGTGTTGTACCCAGGCTGCAAGGGGAAGCTGGTAACTCGGTGTGTAAGATGATTCTTGGAAGTCACTTTCTGGAGTAAGAAAGGACTGGGTGGTTTAAGTGTGTAGTAGTTCTCAGCAGCATTTCAATAGCAACATTACAAGGAGGTGCTTCTGTGTTGTCCAATTGACTGATGAGTAGTGGTGGATTGGAGGTGGAAATCCCCTACCCATTGTCAGTGTTGGCCTGTGAGCTGTATTCCTGCTTTTTGGAAGCTGTGCTGCCAGTGCCTGCCCTGCTGTGGCTGCCTGACCCTGGGGACTTGTCATCCTGCTGCCCCTGATGGGGTGGCCCTGGCAGATGGCAGTGGGACACAGAAGGAAATGCAATGGTGCATTGCAAGCCAGTGCAATTTCTCTAGTGCTGGGGCAAAAAATATGTTGAGCTGCTTCATGGCAAAAATGTGCAGATGACAGTAAAATTCTTCTTTTTATAGGCACCAAGTCTGGCTGTAATAACCTGGCTAGGCAGTTTTTCTTAATTAGTTGTGTTGAAACCACATTGAGATTGGGTGCATACAAGTGTGTTGAATAGATCTACAGAGAATAAACTTTTATTGGAGTACTGTCTGTGGTAGCAGTGGAGAATTATACTCTGAATATAATCAGTGGAAATGCTTGCAGTTCAGCTGAGCGTGCAGAACAGAAAAGTCAATGTATCAATTCAGTTTTACAGACATGGACAAGCTCTTGTGCAGGTTTGCTCCAGCAAGTCTTGTTTTTATTAACAGCACAAAGTATAACTTTCACTTTAATTCAGATTAGATTATCAAGTTAATTAAGCTATAGTGCTTTAGGAAAGGAAAAAATCTTGCAGGGGGGAAGCAAAAGAGTGAAAACAAATTGAACTTTATAAAAGCAATAACTGGTAAAATCAAATTAAGAAGGATATTCTCTTTTGTTTTGTTTTTTTAGCTCTGAAGCTGATCCCTTTAACAGTCTCTTCAGTATTTTCCATAAAAAATAGTCTCAGAATTTCCTCAGCTTGGCTTGCATCTTTTAAAAGCTTTATTTTTTTAACTGAAAACATGAATGATGAATGAATAACACACAATCCAAAGCACTCTTGAATTTAGAATGAGAGAAGGTTCGGGGCTCCCATGCGTCGTTAAAACAAGAGTTGTGTTACAAACAACAGAACCTTCTCTCCTGCTGAGTACACAGTTTCACATTTGGTCAACTGGCTGAAGATTTAATTTTTAGATTAATGAACAGGCCTTTTAAGATTAAAAATAGAGACCTGTGTGCTCCTTGTTTCTTGGCTGGACCTGCTCTGCCGCCTTTGGCAGCCAGAGGGTTACTCGATGGCCCTGAAACCACCACCCGATCTGACATGAGAAAGAACGGAATGAATAATTTATTATGTTAAGCTTTACTTAACTAAGGACAAAAATAACATTTTTCTACTTTGCTTTCTGCAGCAGAGAGGAACGTTACCCAAGCACTGCCTAAGATGTTGACTTATATTTTAAAGACTTTCTGTCTCAAAAAATGATAACATTTAGATACTTGGCATTGACCTGCTGCCAGCTGAAGGTAACATCTGGAGGTGTGAATGAGTTCAGAGGCTAGACTCAAGCTGAAAACTTGGCCCCAAAAGTGTATTTTAGAAATTAGATATTGCAATTTAGTTCATACTAATTAAAACTTTAAGGTTTTTTGCAATTCTTACTTTTTTTCCCCTGTAGGGGCCCTCTGTCTCCCAGTTGCTGTACCTTTATTTGCACTCATGCTAGAAGTTAAAAGTCAACCTTTGAAGTTTTCTGTACCAGAAGGGGACATGGTGTGGCAATGGATTCTTGTCTACCAGGGAAATTCAGGACAAAAGGGAGTCTGCAAATCCCATGGGGATATTTGGTGTGGATGGCTGCGAGGGGGCTGGGGGCTCTGCTGCCTTTTGCAGTCAAAGTTGGAAGATGCAGATTTACTGTAAATTGGACTTAAACACGTTTCCAGGGCTGTGGGTGGGCGATAACCATGGTGATTGTTACCCTCTGCTGGAACAGGACTTTCTAAAGGGCACTGCTTAGGAACACAATAGATAAATGTAGGAAAAACACTGATTTTTTTAGTACCTAGTGTGAATTATTCGTGATGATGGGCACTTTGAAAAATGACTGGAAAGAGAATGAAAACCTACTTATGCTTAGTGCGTGCCAAATAATTGCCATCAGTTATCAGACTTTCTGAACTTAAAGAGAATAGCAATCTTTAATTTTATCTAGATATGTCAAACACAGAAAAGAAGTAAAAATATGTCATGCTGAACAAACATGTAGCATTTGTTTCGGAGCACCATTATCTCCATCAGCTTTCTTGAGGGAATTTGGCAGCAACAATGAAGATGAAATAATGTATTCTGACAGTATGCACAGAGGATTGGAAGAAAAAATAATGGGATTGCCCAGAAATTGTCTTCTGAATAGAGCCAGTGCATTTATGTGAACCATATTGCTTCTGAATGCATTGTTAGAATTCCTGCTTTGCAAATATATCTTGCTGTAGTTTTTGTTCCTTACTTCTCAAGGAAGGTAAAGGCTTCTAATCATTATTGGAAAATAAGTTTAGTCTTAGATTATTGCAATCTCTAAACATTTCCCATTGAATGTTCCATGAAATTCCATGAGACTTATCTTTTTCCTACATACCTGAATTTGTTTGATGCTGATAGTAACTGCACATTGGTGTTATCTCGTGGTTCCTTGTTTGTGGGAAGATGTGGGCCTGTGAGCTCCTGAAGACCTTTTGAAAGGAATATGGATATTCAAAGCATCACAAGGAACCTGCACTGAGAAAAACTGTTCCTTTGTTATGGGGTGGGGGAAGGATGATATGTGTGGCTTTGAATGTTCAACTATGTGGATTAAAAAAAAATAATCTGCCATTTTAGAAAAAAAAATAAATTACTCCATTACTTTTTAAAGCGATTTAAGGAGCACTGGTTAGGAGAAGGAAAAGTGAGAGGTTTGGGTTATCAGGCACCTATTCTTGGGGTGATAAACCCCAGATTTTGGTAAAGGAGAGGTTTAGTGTAAAAGATACAGTTTCAAAACTTACAGGAAAATGATGTAGTTATGCCCAGGTCCCAGTGGTTGTCATGGGAGTTAGAGGACAGCAGTAGCTCTCTCAAGTCCCCTGGCAATGGTGGGCATCTCTGTCCATCGTATCTGTAGGTGTGATTTTTGGCATCAGGGAGTGTTTGATGAATGATTTCTGCCCTAGGGTTTGTTCTTCATTTTTCATTATTGTAGAGAGCCCATAAAAATTGTTTTATAATTAAAAAAAACAACCTCTGAAAGACAGAACTGTTGGATCCTGTAAGAACAGGGTTAACAATAGATACAATTGTTTCCTGTGCTGCAGGTGTCAGGCTTTGGAGCAGGTGTCGGAAGCCAAGGAGGAGGCGCTGGAGGCCGCCCCGGAGCAGGACACCGGCCGTGCCCCAGAGCCTGGGCTGCCCTCCCTGTGTCTCAAGCAGGTGTTCCCCAAGTATGCCAAGCAGTTCAGCCACTTGCAGCTGGTGGACAGGGTGGCTGCTCTCTTCATCCGATTTCTGGGTGTCAGAGGGACAACGAAGCTGGGCCCCACGGGTTTCCGGACATTCATAAGGTTGGTAAGGGGAAGGGTGCTGGAGGCATTGCTGGAAGTGGAGCTTCCTTACCCCTCTGCTTGCCTGAAGGTCCATCAGATTGAAGCAGGCCCTGGCAGAGCAATGCTTTCAGCTTGTGGGTTGAGTAATGCCTTCTAGAGAAACTTTTCCCCATGAGTTCCATTGAAACATTGCACATTTTTTTCAGAAACCAGAGGAATTTTTATCATTCCAAGCTCCCAAAATACCTGATAGGTTCCTGTAGGACCTGGCTCTTTATTCCAGAGCAGATCCGTGATGCCTTGGGAAATGCTATTTGGAGGCTTAGTCAACATGTCACGTTCCAGTGGATTGTTGGAATACCCTTGTGAGAAAGTGACAGCCAGAACTGGGGCACTCGGTGGGATTCTGGCTGGGGGGCACAGCCCCGGGCCAGGGGAAGGGATTTCCTTGTGCTTTGTGCACTCAGGATTTGCATTGTGAAATCGCAGCTTGGAATGGCAAGGAACTCAATTTATTTTTCACATTCTTTTATTTGTGAGGTGCTTTTTTTGTGTGTGTTTTTTTTTTTTAAATGGATGTATCTTTTCCAGTCATGGTACAAATATCTCATTTTCTGTCTTTCATTGACAATGACAAAAGAAAGCAGCAGGAGAAGCAGATGTACTCTTAAAATACAGATCCTGTTTCTATGCAGATGCATTTAGCATTTGTGAATGAATATAAACAATTTGATTTATACAAATTACAATATACAGAAAATGACTGAAGGCATCTGCTCTATCCACAACCAGTGTAGGATTGATTCCAGCTCTGTGTTTTCTATTGCTCAGTCCAGCCTTAATTTGGCACTTGTCAGAGGAACACAGAATGAATGCCAACATTTTTCGTTTAAGAACATTAAAATAAATTGCCATATCTCAGTGAAATAGTGTTTGCAGTTTCCTAATGCATGTTAAATTATAATTTTTAATATTGGCAAATATTTAGTTTATTTTTTCCCAGAGGAAAAAGGATCAACTATATGGTCCTTTTCTGAAATGCTGTCATTACTACTGTCATTTCATTTCAGAAATAAGCTCATGTTTCCAAGGTGTGTCCTGCAGAATTTTTCCCACCTTGGAAGTTTGGATGTAATGAGATTTTTTTCCTTATCTTGCTTGTTTTCAACAGACACTGCAAACTGAGTAACAGCAGTTTCTCAATGGCCTCTGTGGATATCTTGTATATTGATATCACGAGGAGGTGGAACAGCCTGGGAATCGACCACAGAGAATCAGGTAACACTGTTTTGTATTGGAAGACTAGGGAAGCTGAGGGGTTTTTTTGGTAGCTCAAGCACACCTTAAATAGTCAATTTTTAAAAATGGGGAAGAGGCTTGTACATCTGAGGCACATACAAGTACAACCAATTCTTCTGTTTAGTTCTGTGGCAGTTTCCCTTTATCTGCAGAACAGATCCCTCTTGGTTTTCGATGTATTTAGTGGAGCAGGTCTCTGCAAGCCCATTATTATGCTTGCAATTTTGCTGTTTTTAGAGAAGCATTTAAAACCATTCCCAGTGGGAGCTTCAACTTGATGACAGTGTAGGAAGGTCCATATTAGAGCACTTACGTGGTCTAGGAAGAACCAACCAAACCAAAAGCTATGCAGGAGCTAGAAATAAATATACTTATCTTTCTTCCCAAAAAGGTTACTTTGGGGACAAAGATACCTGTAGTCTTTTCCTTTCCCATAGAGTCCCCCCTCCTTTTTTATATTTTCATTGTCTTTGTGATAGGTGAGGGCAGGACAGCAGGTTTCTGCACCAACTGGCACAGAACTCAGCTGTTCAATGGGCTCTCACTAAGGAGAAGCAGCAGTGCTTCTGTGCTGCAAGCAAAGCTCTCAGCTCTTTGCCCATACAGGACTAGGTCAAACAGCCAACCTGGCTTCCAGCAGTGAATCACCTCCCCTCCTGCTTTGGTCACGTTTTTAGATCTGAAGCAATAATCTATCAAATAGAGTTCAGGGATTAATTTCTTGTTATATTATTGGCCTAAACGCACCATTTAATGTATAACTTAATTTCTAAAATTACTATTACATTTCTATATGAAATTGAGCCCATACATTTGTCAGCTTTCCCATAGCTTTTGTAAAATGCATTGCTTGAACAGAGGTGTCATATAATATTCTGTGGAGTCTGCACATATGCAGTCAGATAAGGCAAAAGGAGAACAGGTGAAATACTGTTCACATGGCTGATAGAGTAAATCCAGACCTAAGATTGGAAGGGAGAAAAGGAAGGTGTGGTGCAGAGGACACAGCTTGGTTTCTTGTGCCTGAACTCCAGTGCTACTTCAGGTCAGTCAGGGTCACCTTAGCTTCACGGCTGTGTAAAATCTGAGGATTTGTCCTTTATGTAGCTGGCTGGTAGAATTCCACTAACAAAAATACTGGAAATGCAAGTGAACCTTCAGACTTTCCAAAATTAAGAGATTTGCTGTCAGTCTCAATGAACCAGATGTTATCTAGGTGTCAAAACACCCACTACCCCCCTTTTCTTTGGCTTTGCCTTTGGCCCTCCCCAGCTGGAACCAGCAGAGTGACTCTTGTGGCTGTTGTAAACCAGCAGCTTCTCACTTGTGTCACTAAATACTTCCCAGGAGTGTTGCTCTTGGGGGAGACTGTGGGTTTGCTACCCAAGGTGATTTCCCTGCCTGCAGCTCACCATGACTGATAAAATAATTCAGTGAGCTGGCAGCTGCTGCCTTCAGATAACTCAACAATTCCTCTGCAGGCTCTTTCAGAGCCACGATTGTAACCAACCCTAGCTGCAGCCTTGGTTGAGAGAAATTATACTTCAGAATGCAATTGTAATATTTTGAAAAGGTGCCTTTCCTGCATCATCAATAAGCCAACATTAAGTTTAAAAACTCAAACCTTTCAGTATCTCCATCTAAAATAATCTTCTTAAGTGCATGTTCACACTGGGAGAGCCAGTTAAAGCACAAAGCTGCTCTAACTGTTCCATGTGGTTGGCATTTTGCAAAACCAATTGTGCTCTGGCTTCTTAATTAAGAATTAAAGTAGGTATTACTTCAAGGTTTTAAATACAATAATTAGTGTTAATATGGAGCCCCTGTTTCCATTGGCTGTGGTAATGTGTTATTAGTAAGATGTGATCAAGCAGCACCTGAAGAGTCTGTACTGCAGCAGCATGGAGCAGAAGCATGGAGCTTCTGCAGGAGACTTTTGTTCCAGAGTTTTATTATAGCAGAGAATTTTCTGGCCTTTCTCCTTCGTACACTCTTCAAATGTTTGTTTTTCATTCAGTTGAAACAAAACTGCTCTAGAGTTACTGGGTATGGCTGAAAAAGTGGCCTTTTCACCCTCAAAAGGAAAGCTGTGGATTCTGCAGCCTTTGCAGATGGAAAGCAACACTTCAAATAAATTTATTTCTGCAATCAGGTGATACTTGGTAATAGGGTTATCTTTATAGTGCCACAGACTGAAGTGACTCACTGTTTCAGGAGTTGTAAGTTTGAACTTTTGTTTTAGGTCCATCTCTAAAAATACAAGTCTTAAATGGCCCAGATCAGGTGCTGATATAAACTTGGTTTTTTTGCCAGGTGGATTGTTTTCCTTGAAGCTCAATATGTTACTGTGTATTTGATTCAATTGCAGTTTAATATTTGAGGCAGCAGAAATCAAGGCTGATATTACATCAATTTAATTGTACAATATCATAAAATCAGTTGTTGCTGTACCAGTTTGCCTCTGGATGCCAGGCTGCTGGCCAGGCTGATGTCTGCAAAGCACACAGCAAAATGTAGCCCCAGTGCTGGAATCTCACCCCTTGGTGCCCCAGCTGGGACGTGCCCTGCACTGAAACACTGCATGAGCTCAGATGTGCTACATACAGATGAAACCTTGTCTTTTGGTCTTGAAGGACAGACAGTTTATTTTCTTACTGAGCATTCTAGATGGCTGCTGTTTAAATTAGAAGAAGTAAACTCAGATGGTTGCATGTGTCCCCACCCAGCACACACACCCCTGGCCGCGCTGCCCAAAGAACCACGAGATGGTTTGATGCTCAAAGCAGGTAGTTTGCCAGAGAGCTCTGTGCTGTGCATCTCCCATGAGCACCTTTTCCTTGCAGGAATGTGTTTGCAAGCCTTTGTGGAAGCTTTCTTCTGCTTGGCTCAGAAAAAATACAAGTCCCTCCCACTGCATGAGCAGGTGGCATCGCTGGTTGGTTTCTGTGAGGATCACCTGGCTGCCCTGGACGAGAAGCGCCCGGTGTGCGGCCGCGGGGCCGCGGAGCGCCGAGCTGTGGGTGCTGCTCAGACAGATGGACTTCACCTGGCACCAGCTGCACACCCACCCCTCCTGAGCCGCACAGCCACGGCCACCAAACTCACAGATTGCAGAAGTCATCGCTATTAACTGTGCTAATTCACCAGGACAGAACTGAGAATGAATCCCCACTGGATTCCTCCATCTGATCGTCAGGATTATTTAATGCGGCGTTTTTATTTACACTCCTCAAGAAGCTCCCATCCTGGCAGTAGCTATTGGTGCACCTCTCTTGGACCCAAGCTACACCTCACGTGACAAACTGTGTTTTCATCCTGAGTGTCCAGAAAGCCACCTGTGAGGACAAGGAACAAACTGCAGTGGGGTGACAGCCAGTGTCCCAGGACTGGCTGCACTGATGGGGACGGCACAGCAAAGGAGTCAGGTGCTCTGGATGTGTCCAAGTCAGGAGCTGCAGTCTCAAATACTAGTTGTGGACTTTGTAAAACTCAAACCTGGAATTACACTTGTGGTCAGACTTCAGGCTTTGATCCTCTTCTTTCAGTGTCTTGGGGTGTACATGTTGGAATCAATGCAGATTTGGTCATTGTTTATATACTTCTTTTATAGGTCAGTCTTAACACTGAAATCATATTTTGGCTTCTACTTCTTTGTACGTGTCTTTGCCATGACAAGTACTGTTAATTTTTTAAAGAAAATGTAAGGATGTTTATCCTTTTTGCTTTCACAGGTCCAGCAAGCTCACACTTATTCACAGAAAAAATTACTTTATTACATCAAATTTGGTGAATCCAGTGGTGGTTTTGCCTTCAGGTACCAAACACTGCTGCTGCATACAGCCTAGGAGTTCCTGGAAATTCCAGTGACACCAGTCCTGTCATTGACTGCAGGCTAATTGCATTCTAGGTTTGCTTATTTTTTGCCTTTTGCATGTTTGTGACACCATTTGGACCTGCAGGTCCACACCTAGAGCAGACTTTTTTGTCTTTGCACATATTCTTATTTTTTTCCCTTAAATAGCAGTAGGACTCTGTACAGAGTAGATCTATATTATTTAACAGGCTGTTTTGTCATGAATGCTGGGCTGTACTGCTGGAGCTGTCCAGAGAAGTGTTCTTTTTCAAGAAATGAACTGTGCATTCCATAATTACGTCCATGACTTCCTCTGTTTGGGGGGCTAAGCAGAACACGAGACTGGCTGGAAGGACAGGAATGACTCGGAACTTCAGGGCTGTTCAGTGTAATTGTTTTTGATCTCATGTTTTATTACAAATAATGTATGTCTACATCAGAGTATGGTTTTCCTCCTTTAATCTCTTCTGCAGTGTTAATGAGCTGGTGATGTTGTAGGGTTCCTCATGCTGTTGAGGATCACAAAGCTGTGAGGAGGCCTCTGGGCCCTGAGCTTTGAATCCGAGAGACTGACCGGAGCACACACGATGTTCCAGTGGCTGGTGAATCAGAACGTGGCCTTGGAAGCCCTTTGTCCTTGCAGAGGGAGCCCATCCATTAAATGGCATGACCCAAATGCACACTACAGCATCGAGTGAGTTTTTACTTTAGAAGGAATTCAGAGTTTCTCTCCAGGAGTTAGTTTCAGGCAGCATGTGGTTTTCCTACGTGGCTTTTGGCAGCGTGGCAATATGATGCAAAAGTCGAGTCCATGAGAAACTGGTCCCCAGCAGGTGGTAATATCAGGTGTGGGCATCCCTTGTTCTCTTCTCTTTCTGTAAATCAGCAAGAGTAGTAGTAGATGATCTCTCTCAGTCCAACAGCTGGACTGTTTGAAACTTTATGTATTGTACGTAAGAGCACAACTGTAGACTAAAGCCACTGCCCTCAGCCTTGTTTAAGTTTCATAAAGATTATTGCAGTATGAAGATAAAAAGCCAAACTCCAGGGTTTGGCATCTGTCAGAAGAAATGAAGCTGAAAGGGTCATATTTTTTTTGCACTTTCATTGTAATGTATTTGAAGACATTCACAAGTTGAAAAATGGTTACTTCTTATTTTGTGACATTTGACATTTGTCTTGCGATTGGCAGCGTGTTCCTAGAAACCAGCTGACAGGTCCCCTCACCTGGTGATTGATGTCCTGTGAAGACAGTTACAGAAGAGTTGGATTTGAAATGCTACAGCTGCGAATGAGTAGTGCAATCTGTGGCCTGGAATATCTAGGTTTTGCTATTGTATGAGTTACCCTGATAGCAGTGGAATAAATGAACTCCTGTATAGAATGAGCACTGGTAAGACCTCTCTCCATTTTGGAGATCTTGATACTCTCTGGATCTAATTCAGGTTTCTGTAGGCTGTGCACACAGGCTGATGCAGTATATGCCCTGTTCATCTCCCACTTCAAATATGAAGGGTCCCTTGTCAGAATTGTCAAAATATTTAATTATCTGCCTCTAGTAATCCAGTGTTCATGTATTTATGTAATTGGAAAATTGAATGCCATCTTATTCTTGAGGGGAGGAGGAGGACAGAACAGAAGTGTACTTTAGTGAGTTAATGACAAACTCACTTCTCTCTTCCCTCCCATCTAATGAAATTTCCTCTGCATATTATTTAGCATCCAAAGCAATTTCACTTGGCCTTTAAGTTACCAGTCTGTGCATGTGGAAAAAATGGCCAGAGCTGCTTTATTCAGAACATGAATGCTGATGCATGGATAATTTGTTAATCCTGAGGTACCTTTCCAGGAAAAGAAACAATACATGAAAGGTAGTAGGCATTACTTTTCTGATTGTACTTCTCTATGTATTGTTTTCAGGGAATAACACAGCACTCACTGTTCCATTTATGACATGTAGAATATGAACATTGCACATTAGTGAGGTCTGTCTTGTTACCAGACACAGTGGGTATAAAGCACTTCAACATCTGAGGAAGGTTTGAGGCAGCCAAGTCCAGGGTTTCCATCCAGACATCCCCCATCCCTGCAGGCTTGTACCTGGCCCAAATATACCCAAATTCACTTGGTGGCTCCTTGTTGGATTTGGAGTTCTTTCCCTGTATAAGGCTGTTGCAGGCTCAATAACCTGAAATTTTTCTGATTTGGGGTCAAGAAACTTAGTTGCCCTCTAACCAAATGCCCAACTCACCCTCCCAAATGTTTTGGGAACAGTTAACATGCAACAAGCAGGTTGCTTCAGTTGCCACACACATCTAGATACTTCATTTTAACTTTATTTTAAAACACAGCTGGAGGGGGAGGTGCTCAGCTAATGACACAGTTACTGCTCTGGTGAGAGGCCCAAGTCCAGCCCCATCAGCCTTAGTCTTCTCAGCTGGAGCTCCTGCCCCTGAGCCCTGCAGGTGACTCCTCTTTACCAGCTTTTCCCTCTGATTGTATTAATCATCTTGCCTTCAGCCAGTCATCAAGAGGCCAAAGCATTCTTCAAGAGATGGTGACACAGTTTGGAAACCCCAGTGAGGAGGGACCTGCTCCTGCCCGGGCCTGGACATCAGGGTAGGTGCTTGTCCTTGTGCTCTGGGTGTTGGGAGTTGGGAGGGGCTGGAGCTGCTGTGGTGACCTGTGGGCTGATGAGAGCCCTGCCCCTGCACTGCTGGATGTGGGAGCTGGTATCACATGGAATTTGGCTGAACCTGATCACCTTGCATGGGTTTGCTGTCAGCTGTTGGATCTGGGAGGCTGAGGGGATGGATTTGACCACAGTTCTGCTCTCTGGTCTGCTCTGTGGTGCAGCCAGGGATGCAGGGGGTGGTTTGGCAGTGCTGAGTGAGGGAATGCTGAGGGGCTGCACAGGGTGGTGAGGGGAGCTGAAGGCAGGCTGGACTCACACCCCCTGTGTGGGGAGTACAGGTCACTAGCCTTTCCCATTCCCCCATTTCCGGTATTCTTGCTGCTGACCTGGACAAAACAAGTGCTGGTGAGCAGTGGTGGGTCCTGGCTGCACACAGCAAGCACTCGGGTGCTCAGCACCGTGCAGGTGCCACAGCCCCCCTGCCCTCAGGAGCTTCCTGGGAGGTGCCAGGGACAGCCCCTGGTCGCCCTGCCCTGCGCCTGAACTGCCTCTGTGGGAGGGTGATTTGCAGTTCTGATGGCAGAAACAAGTTTGCTCATGTCATTGCTGAGTTTTGACAATTTACTGCAGGTGTAGGGTAGAACTGGTATGAAATTGCTGTAAATCAAAAGCCTATTCTGGTGATGTGATGCAATTTTCCCTCCTGTTTGTCCTTCCTGCGGGCTCGGGTCAGGTCTCCATCCCTGCTGGGCTGCAGGGCAGCACTGCTGGTCCCTCCTGCAGGACGGGGCAGCATGGGCAGTCAATAGACATGGATAAAATAAAGTTGTGAACAGCAGCAGGAGCTGAAATAGCAACATCAATAGCAGTTTCCAGATAATGATCTAATTAGCACAAACAACAAGTTTCCACTAATGACTCTGGTTCTTCCAGCCCCTTCCTTTCTGCTCCTGTCATTATCGACTTCCCGGCTGCACTCCCTGTCTCCAGGGCCAAGGCTTTGGGGTTTTGTTTACTGGCTGGCTTTGAATTGCTTCTCCAGAGGATGTTTGCTCTGGAGCTCGGGCTGACGTGCGTGGGAAGCCTGTGTGCAAGAGGGAGAGGGAGGAAAACCTGCTGCTTGGCTTTTGTAGCTTGCTGGAGGCCTTGGGAAAGTTGTGCTCCTACTGCACATCCCCTGCTGCAAAAATGCGGCTGCTGCTGAGCACCCACTGCAGCTGGAGGGTGGGAGCTGATTGCTGTGAAGGGCTTGGGAAGCTGTGAGTGGAAGGTGCTTGACAGGAGCAAGGATTATTATCAGAGGAGCAGAAAGCAGCTGTTTGTTCCCTTGCCCTCCCAGGCCATAAGCCTCCAGTTCAGCCCCATTCAGTCTCACTAACGGCAGGAACAGTCTGGTGCTGGAACTGAGCCCTCCTTGTCCACAGAGGGAAGTTTTTCCCTGAGTGAGCCCAACCATGGTCCTCCACGGCATCTGCCCTCCCTCTGGAGCTGCCCCAGGCCCTGTTGCCCATCTTGGGTCCCTCCCCCAGAGCTGTGGGAAGGTGCTGCTCTGCCTGGCCATGATCTGTCTGGGGAGGCAGAGACAAATACTCACACGTGCACGTGGCCAGTGTGTGTGAGGATGCTGTAGAAACTGGAAATG